GTCTCCAGGACACCGGTGGGGCTCTATTTCCTTGGGTCCCCTTGCCATTTCTCTGGATTTGCGAAGATCCAGCGGACTTTCTGTGCAACTCTCTTGTCGGGGAACTTTGGTGCCACGTCCCCTCATTCTGCCCTTCGTCATCTGCACCTGCACAAGTTAGGGTCCATGTTCCTTGGACGGGAAGAGACAGGCAGGAGTCGGAATGCTGAACCAGCACATTGGGGGCATTTTCTCACGTGGTCCAAGTGACCCCATGGTCTTCTAGAGCTTTGGAACCAGTCGCGTCCCACTTGACACTACACTCGACTCTCAGTTGCTGAATCTTGTTGGCCCTCCGGCGATCTCCCGTTGGATTAGTTGCACCTGCTGAAACTCGATTCCCATTGGATTTGCGCTTCATTAATTATTCATGATCCGGGTGGGAACGCCTGCTTACATCCCCCTGCGGCTGTTCTCTGAACTTTCCGGTCACATCGTTTCCTGCCACGCTCCTTGGTTCATTTTGGTTATGCTCTTTTTGCTGTCAGAGGAGCAGAGAGTTGATCTTGTTGACCCTGGATACTGATACTTTCTAGGTGATCTGGATAATCAAGGTAACGACCCTCAACGGCGGCGGAAAGGGGGCAGCCATTTGGCGTTGCTCAGAAATTCCTACTCAGATCCGAGGCCTCCTAGATGTGGAATCCCGGTCAGAGTTGTTCCCAGGTCAGAGAACGGAGATAGCCTGTGCATGATGGGATGTCTTTGCCTGGAGTTTTCAGTGAGTCTCGACTTCAGCTACTCTTAGGATCAGGGGAAGAAGCATGGAAAGGCCCGGTGCTCAGGCATCCGGAAAGAAGATGGGATGAATATTCTACCTCTGAAGTACATCTCAAAGCTGGGAGTTTACTTCAGCTTTACTGGGTTCTACTTGGCGAATGAAACTGTGCCTCGTTCATACGCACATCTGGAAACCGCTTCATGGGGACCGTCACAGTTTGAACCCCATGCGTGCCATCGCGGTGAGCCAAATGGGGACTCGTGGTGCAAGCAAAGCTCCCCACGTGTTAGCGTGCGTGAGATTCACTTGGCGGAATATGACTAGGTGCGTGTTGGTAGAGTGGGGCTGAGGTTCTCTTGCCCCTGTAGATGTTTAAGGAGTCAAAGGTCCTGCCAAGTCCTGCAGTCCCCTCAATCAACTCTGTTTCCGAGACATAATGACTTGGATTGCTAACAAGTCAAGAAATTTTCAAGCCCTTGGAAAATCAGTTCCACACAAACACGGAATGAAAGTCAAAAGAGAGTACGTCATCTTTTTGAGAATTTTATTCACTTCAAAACCAATTAAACACACCTATTTCCAATGGCATTCCAGAGCCCAATTTTCGAGTCTGAGCAAACACCCCAAGAACGCTTTGCAAAGAACGCTTCACAGCGTCCAAGAAAAAAAACACTGCTGTCAGGGCGGGACACAGCTGAAGGCCTGCATCTCTCAGGGTTCCCTAACTGTTCCCTGATTCAGTCATCTAGAGAGCAAACACACAGTAATTCCCCAGTTTCCTGCTGATAGCACAGCGGAAGTCTGACTCCTGCGCGTCACCGTCACCCAGTTTCTGAGGCAACGAATCACTGTCACAGAAGCTTCTCTTGGCGGGTTTCTGGAAAGCCCTGCGAACTACAATGTCCCTCACCAGAATTCAATGAGGCAGAGTCTCTGCATGTGGTCCCTGCCTGGCCTGGGCTCCAACATCCACAGAGGCACCACAGCTGGGGAGCTTGGGAGTCACCACACACAGTCTGCTCTCTGCTCTGTGTTCCTCAGTTCTGCAGTCCCCTCCAAGCTACGGGAGCTGGTAACCACGGGGCCCCTGCCGCTTGCAGTCTCTCTCCAGGGCATTATCGCTGTCCTCTGAGGAGGAGGAAACCTGAAGGTCCTCATAGAGGCCACTCAGGGGGACAGGAACACAGGGAGCCTCAGACTTCGCTGTGACGTGAGGGCTGTGAGCGAGGAAGGCTCCCGGCTTCTCAGGAGAGGGGAACGAGGGAGCTGTCAGTGAAGCAAAGACGGATACCGTGTCAGACATTTTGGTAGCTGAGCCATCAGTGAGGGCAGGGTCTACGCGTGGCCTCTTATTGCTTGTGGGGACCGGCATTGGCCTGGTTGCAACCTGAAAGAAAGGAGACCACAAACGTTAGAAGTTCCTCAGCATCGAGCCAACATGGAAATCAACGGCATCCGAAAACAGCTGGAAATTCTTAATACGGTATGGACAGGCAGTCCTCGGAAGTAGGGATAGATCCTCAACGTGAGTGCTGATTGGGACAAGACCCATGAAAAATGCACTCTCGCACTATGATCTAAGAATAATATTTTTCTAAAGACTGTGTTTTGGGCCTCAACTGGATCAAAGCGCCTCCACTCAGTCTTCCAAGAAGTGGGACGGACTAATGCCCTTCTGATGGCAGGTTGGTGGCTGAAGGGTTCCCAGGACGTGTTTTCTGAAAACATGCATGTTTCTGGGGTTAGCCTCCTCCAGGTTTGGGGCCTCCAAGGGACTAATTTCCTCAGGCCGCTAGGAAGATGTTGTTGGCATGCTTGCCGTCATTGCACAGAAAAGGAAACAACAGAAAATATGGCATCTTTAGATGCCTTCACCTGGAATCAAATGGACCTGGAAGGATCGTGGAGTCCCTGACCTCAAGAAGGCGGGGAAGAGGGGTTCCCTGAGATTCCCTCACACACACGGGAACCTGAAAGGAAATCAACCAGGGTGACCTAGAGGAGAAAAAGACCAGGGGCCCAGGGTGACACTCACCCTCAGATAATCACAAGATTCCATGGATTCTTTTCGATTTGGCAGCGGCTTCGCCAAAGGTTTCCCGGAAAAGATCGGGAGGAGAGCCTTCCTCTGCGGGTCTTGTAGCCTGCAGGAGAGAAAACGTTCAGGCCCTGCTCCCCAGTTCTCCCCAGGAGACAGGGAGAACCCTGCCTGGGGCCCAGTCCCGTTCTGTGTTTTGTGATACATAAATGGAACTTTTGTGCCCTTTCTTCCTCTGCACCTTCTCTCACGTGCCAACCCTCCCATCCTCCCGGTGGCCCTCTAGGCTTCCCAAGTAAGGACTGTCATTTGGATTCCGTTGCTTTTTCCCCTGTCATGGGGAACCTGCACGAAGCGCCCCCAGCTCTCCCCCGTCCCTGAGTGTCCCAGAGCCAAAGGAGCTCCTGGGTGGGGAACCAGGCAGGACACGGAGCTCTGGTCTCTTTTTCTGCAGTGTTCTTTCCCTGACTCGGAGACGGAAAAGCACACGGTGTGCGGGTGCAGAGACACCATGTCCTTAGGTGGCAGTACCCTGAGGGTGGTGAAAACCCCTCCCACTGCTCACCTTGGTCTCTCTGCCTTCTCTCCCTTTTCCTTGTTCAAGGGCCCCGGGTTCCCTTGACCCTGGGACTTCCGTGGTTTCAGGTTTTCCTTCCCTTCCTTCTTCCCAAAGTTCTGGGGAATCAGAGCTTCTTTCCAGCGCTTCATGAAGCACTTGGTATCTCTGTCCGTGTGGCCAAAGGCCCCGCAGTTTTTGCACTTCTTCTGTGGGTGGAAAGGAAGTGATGTCAGTGAATGAGCTGAAGCCACAGGCAGCGATCCAATGTCAACATTGAGACGGATTGTGAATTCAGAACTGAAAGAGGATTCCAAAGAGGGGACACCGGCATGGGGGCCCTTAACTGGTGGGAGGGTTCGGTTACGATGTTCCCTCCCAAAGCCCATGTGACGGAGGCACTCTCAAAGGAAGGACTCAGGGTTCTAGCGGGGACGATCGTGAACCCGATGTCAACAACACAGCCCAACCTGGCTACACAGGATTCTGAGTGGAAAGGGAGGTTGCTCCCAAGAGTCTCTCAAGGGACCTATCGGGCCGGGGAGGAGGTCCCAAGCCAGGCCCACCTTGGATGGAAAAAGCAACCTGGGTGGTGGTGACATAACTCTTTGGAATCCAACCCAGTCTCTGAGGACCGTGTGACACCTGCCCCCTCCTCCCCCTCGATACCCAAAAGATTCCAGGGCTAGACGTACCTTGGGATCTTCTTCATCGGGTAGGGGAGCCCTTGGCCCAACTGGGGCCCTCTGCTGCTTCTGGAGGGTCTGGTCTCTCACGAGTCTGTTTGCCCCACCTTTGGGGTCGTGACGTGCCATCATCTTCGTCTCCTGGGCGTTTTATGGCCGCCTTTTTCAGGGGTTGATGGTTGGGTCACCTGAATCACACACAAACACACACAAAGCAATGGTTAAAGACGTTGGATATTCACACACCCACAAGAAACCCTCAGCTAATTCCTTGACGGTGTGGTCCTGAGGAGACTTCACCACCCATCGGTGAAATCTGTGGATCACAATGTGGTGTGTGCATCCTCAGATATTGTATGTTCCTCTGCCGTGACTACCTGGTCCAAGAGTAAACCTCGCCTGCCACACGGTCCATGGCCTAGGTATGTGGAGTTGAGATTTCAACCCCAAGCAAACAACCGATTCTGGAGACTGGACTTAGGTCTATCACCATTCACTCCAGTAGAAGACACAATGATTCTCTCTCCCCTGAGGGACAAAAGAATCGAAGCTACAGGGCATGGCCTATGTCACCCCTTGGCAAGTCTGCTTGAAGTCAGGGATAAGGGGTGCTTGCTATCAGGACTTGAATCGCTACTCTTGCCGTTTCACTAGGCAACTTCCAAACACAAATTCATCGAGAGAAGTTATCTCCCTCTCTACCACACTAGCAGGTGATGGTCCTTCCTGCTGTGTCTTTTTGGCTTTAGCTCCAGCCCCTCTTTATTTATTTTTCTGGTATTTTACACATGCCATATGAATTCATCTAAACAAACGCTGAACAAGTGGCATAGGAATTTCTTACATGGCTAAAGGGCAAACCACCCCTTTTCCAGAGTTCTTTTTCCTTTTACCCACCCATTCAGCATGCTGGAGTAAATTTCTTTTTGCATTTCCATCTGGTTCTTATCCCAGCCACGGAGATGGAAATGTTTTCTTGCTTTCTGTTCCAAGAATTAACGATAAGGAGAACACATCGTACCCCATCAGCGAGCCCCAGTGTGGTCTGTTTCTTTCAGTCTCCTTTGTCTCTTTCCCCCCGACCCCTCAGGGATTACGTGAAACAAAACAGTCGTTCAGGGAAACTAACCTGAAATTACAGGTCTACTTTCTTTCCTCGGCTGGCGCTTAGATGGACAGGTGCGCTGGCGCTCAGATGGGCAGGTGCTGGAGCAGCCCTGTTGGAAGCGATGCAGCCTTCAGGAAGCCGGAGGCAGGAGCGGAGAGGGACCTTTGCTTTCCAGGCTGCAGTTTGTACTGCCTCTGGACCCCTGACGGGAAACGGACCTAACCTTATCAACTTAGTCCAAATACATCACCCGGAAAGGTCTATTTGCCCAGCCCACTCTAAGACAATGTTCACTATGGACAGATGTAGAGGACTGTGTGCTCGCGAACCAGATGTTCCCGATAAGCCCTGCTCTTGAAACAAAGCACGACATTCTTTCTCTGCAAACAGGAAGGACAAAGGAGTCAGCTGTAAACAGCGGGCTCTGGGAACTGGTCAATTGTTTCCTGATCTTGCGAGTCAAGGAAAGGTCAGAGAAGCAACACATGTCCCGTGACTTGGCAACATTGCACAAACGGCTGGATGAAATAAAGTAGAGTGTGCCGTTCGGGGCGGCCCCCATGTATGTCTTCTCCTGTGTTGTCTTGTGTGTTCATTCCTTTGTTTACAAAACACGCGGATCCCAACAGACAGACATTCTAAAACCTACCTGTACAGCTGCAAGCTTTGAAGAATAGATGCTTCCCGTCAGCTATGTAGCACTGGTGCAGGTATCCCTGTCTTCTTTTACGTCTTTTTTTTTTTTTTTAAATAAGGTACTAAAATAGACACAGTGTGATTGTACCATATTTACCCTATTTCAACGTAGGCCTCAGTGTCATCAAGGAGGTTCACCTTGACATGCAATCTCGGCCGTTATCCATCTTCAGAGCTTCTCCTTCTTCCCCACGGTGAGTGTGTCAGCAGAAAACCCTGACCACACCCTCACGGGTTTTCTCCTCCAGGAGGCCCTTGGAAACCACCGTGACTTGGACTGCACTGGGAAACCCAGATGAAGAAAGTCAACACCGCTTTGTCCTTCGGTGCCTGGCTCCTTTTTCAGCTCGTCCTGCGGCTCCAGGCATTATGCCTGAAGAGTCTCCAGGACACCGGTGGGGCTCTATTTCCTTGGGTCCCATTCCCACAGATGAGGTCCCAAGCTTTGGGGAGGAAGCTGTCAGAGTCACCCAGTGAGCTGTTCAGAGCTGGAGCCACAGAGCAGGTGAGGAGCCCTGGCCACGTCCCCGTGTGCACTGATAAGCTGGGGTGGGGTCATACCCCCAGGAGCCCATGCTGACAGTGTTCTGCGGGCCCTCCTTCTGCCTAAAGAATGCTCAGCTCCCAAGGGACCACTAAGGCCTGGAACCGAGAGATGCATGAGCTGACCATCATGCCCAGGCCCCCTGGACCAGGCAATGTCCAGTACAGGCAGGCAGTCTGGGCTTGGGGCCAGGACAGGGGTGTGTGGTCCTCCTAGACAGGCCTCCTTCTCCCTACCAGCTGGGCTGGTTGCACTGTAGTTTTGGTTCTGGCAACATATTGTTGCCCACTTTGGCCACACCGTTCCCCGGCTCCCTGGCTAGGCCAAGTGCTGTCCAACCTACCTATACAGGTACCACACACCCAGTGCCCACTATGCTCTCTCAGCCAGGACGACCCATGCTCATCCCCTGAAGTTTCCGTGGGAGCCTGCATCCCACAAGGACCCACAGCTCAGGGCCAACCTCCATAGGGTCTTGGTTGTGGTGGCAGTTGTGGGGGGTAGTTGACCTCCAGCCCTCCCGTCCTGGCCACTGTATTTTGTGGTGATCGTTCAGTCCTGGGAGCTTCCTGGGGACCCCAGAAGGAAGAGAACAGGGTGGTCATGGCAGCCTCAGCCCCAGGCTCTGGGCCAGAAGTTGATAACGACCAATTCAGAGCAACCACTGAATTCGATCCTCTTACAGATACACGAGAAGTTGGCGAAAAACTGAATGTCCACCATTCTATGGTCATCCAGCATTTGAAGCCAATTGGAAAGCTGAAAAATCTTGATAAGTGGGTGCCTCATGAGTTGACCAAATATTTTAAAAATCATCCTTTTGAAGTGTCATCTTCTCTTATTCTATGAAACAACGTTGAAACATTTCTTGATCAGATTATGACATGCCACAAAAAGTGGATTTCATACAATAGCCAGCTCACTGGTTGGACTCAGAAGAAGCTCCAAACCACTTCCCAAAGTCAAACTTGTACCAAAAAAAGGTCACGATCACTGTTTGGTGGTCAGCTGCCGGTCTTCTGATCCACTACAGTTTTTGAATCCTGGTGAAATCATTACATCTGAGAAGTATGCCAAGTTAATCGATGAGACGCATGGAAAACTGCAGCAACTAGAACCGGCACTGGTCAACATGAAGAGCCCTGTTCTCCACAACGTGTGACCACATGTCATACAACCAGGGCTTCAAAAGTTGAATAAACTGGGCTATGAAGTTTTGTCTCATCTGCCGTATTCATCTGACTCTCACCAACGAACTACCACTTCTTTAAGCATCTTGACAACCTTTTGCACAGAAAATACTTACACAACCAGTAGGATGCAGAAAATGCTTTCTAAGAGTTCATCGAACCCTGAAAGCATGGAATAAACAAGTTTATTTCTAATTGGCAAAAATGTGTTCAATGTAATGGTTTCCTTTGTTTTTTTTTTAAGACCGAGTCTCACTCTGTCGCCCAGGCCAGAGTGCAAAGGTGCAATCTCTGCTCACTGCAACCTTTGCCTCCTGGGTTCAAGAGATTCTCCTGCCTCAGCCTCTTGAGTAGCTGGGATTACAGGCACATGCTACGACACCCGGCTACTTTTTGTACTTTTAGTAGAGATGCGATTTCACCATGTTGGTCAGGCTGGTCTCAAACTCCTGACCTCCTGATTCACCCGCCTCAGCCTCCCAAAGTGCTGGGATTACAGGCGTGAGCCACTGTGCCCAGTCCATTGTAATGGGTTCTATTTTGATTAATAAAGATGTGTTGAAGCCTAATTATAAAAATTTAAAATTCATGGTCCAAAACCACAATTACTTTGGCACCAACCTAATAATAGAGGAATTAAAAGAGGCCTTTATATTAGAGAGCCCATGGATGATAAAATAATAAAGAATATTACAATCTCCATAACCCATAAACTTGGTAACTTAGACCAACTGGATGAATTAAAAGACACAATCTATTAATACTAAAACAGGAGAAATAGGTAATCTAAATACATTGATTTCTATTTTAAAAATGAAATCAATACCTAATAACCTTACAGAAAACCTATATATTCCAAAAATCTGACATTCTGTCATGTTATTCTAACTGGTGGTATTCAGGGATTTCCATTTTGATAAGAACATAGGTGAGTTGCACACACTTACTTTCAGTACTCATTCATCTGGAAACCTATGTCCTCTATAGGATACTGCAGAACGATGCGTTTTGGAGAATTTAGGCAAGATAATATCATTTTCAGAATTAAAGGAAGACAACTTGTTTTATGTACAGCAATTCCTCATAATATCACAGGGGATACCATATTTAAACTTTGGGGTATCCCCAGGTATAATTCTTATTTGAGCCACATGTGAATTTCAGACACGGAGGCTGCCGAACTTTGGTGGCTTTCAACAGATGTGGAAGTTAATTCACAACCCACTTTGTGGAGGCATAAAATTCAATGAGCACTCATTTAGCATTT